TAGCTTACTTAAAGTTTGTATTGTTTTTGCTGTCTTTGCGGAGTACATTATTTATTATATTAAATCTAGATTAAAACCACGTAGCTTGTGCTTGAGAAATATAATATAAAAATAGTATATCTATATTTTTGGATATAATAAATACCCTCCAAACAAAATCCCGCAAACAGACTTTTAGTGCAGAATGGCAACATTAATCTAATTCATACCGAAGAACGTAGTTGAGTCCGAGTTTAGTTGACAGTTTCCCTGGAGACCAACCGTTACGACGATATTGTTTTAGATGTTAGAAAGAACTGAACTCAGCAAGACCTGTTTTCTATTGTTGTTATTGGGCGTTCACTGTTGCCAGTTAGTATTGAAGCTAATGGCCCCTTGACATGAGGCACTTCTAAGATGTTGTGAATGTTGGACTAAGAACGTTATTCCTAAGAGCTATCTATGAGAGATTGAAGGCTTACTTTACCCCATCTTATTTTGTCTGTGTTTTATTGCTTTTAACATTGTTTTCTCAGGTTTTAGAGTATTTTGAGTGGCTTATTAATGTAAAGGGAAATAACCTTATATCAAAACTCCCAGTTTCGCGGCTTATGATTCACACTTTTAGTTTTTACAATGAAAAAAATTTAGAGTTAATCTATAACTCATTGAATTAGTTTAACAGGAATAATCTAAATTTATCAAATGTCGAATATTACTTTCAAAATGAAGTATTCAAAGTGTAATACGTATTCAAAATACTAATCCTGTTAACCTTATGCCTATACAGAAGGTTAAGTACGTTGTATTAAAACGACTTTGAATGTGCAAATTAGCAAGTCACGAGACAACCACAACAAATATATACTAACAGTGTAACAGCATATATCTGAACTACATTTTGACATTAATTTGCATAACGTGGGAAGTGCGATGCTACCGAAAATTGGTGGATTTTGGGAAGCATATTTATACCGGCATTTCCGTTGCAAATATTTAAATACTCAGATCATAAACATGTTTTCAGAAGAGGAATTTGGGTATTACAAGATATGAATATCCCTTGTACTCAATGACACTGGAAAACAAAATAACATAGATCAACTTGGAGCTCCAGAACCACGCAGAAAGAGACCTGCAACAAGTCGTAATTCAACTCTGGTAAGTAAAGTGAGATGTTTTGCAACAGGTGAGAATCCACGAACACAAAGGATAGTGACAAGCTTAGTTTAAATACCAAAAGCAACAGTACGCAACATAACCAAGAAGATAAGTCTTCTAGTCATACTTCCAGTTCAACCGTAGCATATCTCAAGAAGCTGGAGAATTAAACGGGTATTCATGCTATTCCATACGAAGATATACCAGTCATGTCACCAGATACAACGCTTATCGATTTATATGCGATCATACTGTTAAAACAAGCTTTAGAAAAGCATCGCTTTTGTACACAAGACGGACTATGGAAAACAAACAAGGAGGAGTGGTGTGCTTTGGACAGGATAGTCTTACGACTGATATTGTTTTCAGAAAGAAATTACGCTACATGGTTCGCCTGTTTGCTGCTAATCACAAAACCACACAATGGGCTACCTTTGTTGTGCCCACTACAACCATCGCGACTCAGGTTTTAGCGTTATAAGACATCGGCCTTAACGCTGAGTCAATGGTAGGCCGTGACGACATGAACTATAACGTGTGGTGAAGCACCAAAATCGTTTGAATATAGCGTTCTTAACTTTTGTACTCTCACGACCTAGTTTAAGGTTTTATTGTTGGCACGTTCAGTTACCTTTTGTTCAAAACACATAATTTGAATAATTTTTATACCGTTATTTATTTAGATCAGTGCAAAATTATTATTTGTTTATAAGATATGAACAAATTAGAAAAAATTGTCTTCCATACTGTGTTTTTTCAATATGATTGAAAATTGTGTTTTATACTGTGTTAGTTTAATGCGATCTAAGATTGTGATCTTAATCACGTTTAAAATAACACAAAGCTCAGTTAAGCAATTTAAAACTTATCTTGGTAAGTCAATGTGATATCAAAACTTTGTATTTTCACTTTTGTGTAATTCCTAGCTTCGCCACCATTTTTTAAGTGTTATGTTTTTGTAAAGATATCACATATTTTTGGTTTTCACTTAATCATAGCCTGACAGTACCCTGTGTCTCTTTATAGGCTAACATATGCATGCTTTAAGTTTTATTTAACATCTGTAGTATGCTTGATAAATGAGTTGAAAGCATTTATTTAATAAAGTAAAAAAATAAAAAATTAACAGCTGTGACAATGAACATAACAAAACGGTTCCCTTCTTCCAACCACCAAGCACCTGACGCAGACATTAGTTTCAATGTAGCTTGTCTTGTATTAGCTGTAGATAAGTTTTTTTTACCAAACAAAAAACAAGCAATACGTTGCGATTATGAGAAAATTTAATAACTTTTTGCATGTTTGATTCTAGGAGCACGAAAGCTGTAGGTTTGATGGGTAGAAAATTGTGACACAATATTAATGTCTCACGATATTCTCTTTAATTAGAAGATGTTAAGAAATTCCAGTTGCAATTACACTTTTTACTGTATTAATATTATTCTTGTTTTTCATGGCTTTTGATATCACACTTTTCTAACCTAATTTAGCTCGTGATAACAAATGGTTTTAGTACAGAAGAGCATTGAAAATAATACATAACAATGTTATCGTTTATTCTATTTCAAATGTCTTTTTTTTTTATTGAAGCCTTACCTTTTGCCTATACAAATTTAGCGTGAAATTAGATTTATTGCTTCATTTTTGAAATAAAACTAAACATAAAACGAAGATGACTCATAAGCGTGAGTCAAAGAAAAACTGAAGTTCTGGTGGAAATTTTCGTGCTAAATTAGTTTTATTACCACAGGTGAAAGTAATAAACGTGACTGGTTTATTACCACAGATGAAAGTAATAAATGTGACTGGTTTATTACCACAGGCCTATGTAATAAATGAGACTGGTTTATTACTGCAGGCGCATGTAATAAATGTGACTGGTTTATTACCACAGGTGCTTGTAATAAATATGACTGGTTTATTACCACAGGCGCATGTAATACATTTGACTGGTTTATTACCACAGGCGCATGTAATAAATGTGATTGTTGTATTACCATAGGCCCAAGTAATAAACGTGACTGATTATTACCACAGGCGCATGTAATAAATGTGACTGGATTATTACCACAGGCGAAAGTAATAAATGTGACTGGTTTATTACCACAGGCGAAAGTAATAAATGTGACTGGTTTATTACCACAGGCGAAAGCAATAAATGTAACCGGTTTATTACCACAGGCGTAAGTAATAAATGTGACTGGTTTATTACATTAGGAGCAATTAATATATGTGACTGCCTTATTACCATTGGCTCAAGTAATAATTGGCAATGGTTTCTTACATTAGGCGCAAGTGACATATGTGACTCCCTTATTACCACTGAATCAAGTAATAAATGTGACTAGTTTACCACAGGCGAAAGTAATAAATGTGACTGGTTTATTACATTACGCGCGAGTGACATATGTGACTGCTTTATTACCACAGGCGAAAGCAATAAATGTGACTGGTTTATTACCACAGGCCCAAGTAATAAATGTGACTGGTTTATTACCACAGGCCCATGTAGTACATGTGACTGGTTTACTACCACAGGCCAGTGTAGTACATGTGACTGGTTTGCTACCACAGGCGCATGTAATAAATGTGACTGGTTTATTACCACAGGCGCTTGTAATAAATGTGACTGGTTTATTACCACAGGCGCATGTAATAAATGTGAATGGTCCACAATAGAGCACTTCAAGAAACAGAATCAGCGACTTTCTGTTAGAACTTACAGGACTTTTTCATTGCACTCTGTAGCGCTCTTTGTATGAAATGTTTTTAAAAACAAATAGTCCTGGAGGGTATAACTTCCAAGGAAATAAAAAGATTCTTTTTACAATCTATTTATTATTTACAACAAAACTCTCTTGATCTGTATCTATTTTTTTTATTCGATTGCTTCCTCTGGGGATATTTTAACAGAACAAGCTGGTGACTTCATTAATCTAACGTTTTTATAAGGTAAAAAGACCAATACTATAGTTTATGTCTTCAAAACGGTTTGTATTTATTGTATATTACTTTAGCTGAAACTTAGTTCGTACAAATACATTTCAACTTCTTGCTAAATCAATCTTATCCCTTGTTGGTATTTAACGATTTTTTTTCTATACGTGAAAAAAAAGTGGATATTTAACGACTGTAGAACTTCATCCAAACACAGAAGCTTTTGGGTTTTATAATCTAAAACAAAATGCATTTCAGGTTGCCTTGCCTAACACTTTTATGGTGTTATTACTTTACTATAGCGAGTGTGGTATCAATTTATAAATAAAGAAGTAATACTTAAGACGATTTCCTTGGAATAGTTACTTGTTGACGTTTGTCAAGATAAAACCATCTGGTTTTCTTTGTTATGTGTCTCTAACAAGTACGTGTTCAGCATCTTTCGTCCCAGCTCTTCCTTCTCTCCTCAAATGTTCCAAATATACCATTTACTAGTGAATTCTATGGTGGTTAGAGTGTTTTTTTTTATCAACTTCTGAGATATGGTGTTAATTAAAAGGGAAAATACTATATTAAAGTATTTGAAAGCTCCCCCCCCTCTCTTTCAGTGGTATAGCGGTACACCTGCGAACTTATAACGCTAAGAACTTATGCTTCTTATTAACCTTTGTATATACATCTATACATATTACTGAATCTGCGATTCTTCGTGGTTTTATATTTGTATTTCCAGCCATGAGCATTAGAAGGTTTCACTGTAATATGAGAACGTTTTTACTATAAACACAACATATTTGTGTCATCCAACCGAATATTCTTCTTTCAAGTGGCTTATTCATTCGTGACAATGAAAAGATAATATATCTAATTTGATATAGTCTTAATATTTCATATTAGGATGCCTAAATTTGGTATTGTTTTAGCTTACGTATGGGGATACACACCCGATGTACACAGTTGAAAATTATCCGAATTTTTTCCGAGTGGTTCCGAGTGAAGCTGCCTTTAATCTAGCTCGTGTAGCACTACTTCGACACTTCAACTGGACCAGAGTTGGCACTCTTTACCAAAGTTCTCCTCGCTATGCCTTGGTAAGTACTTAAACAGGCTTATCTAGTATCTAAGTGTGTATGGAAAAGATTATTTCAAACATTTCCAAAGGTTTTGTATTTTCAAGCAGAGAAGTAAAATCAACAACATCCCTGGGAATTAAACTACATAATCACGTATATTTTTATTTGGTAACGAAAGTTGTAACAACCCAGTCGTCAAATAAGTGAAAAATAAGTAATGCGTTATAGAGTTTATTTTCGTTTTGCGTGCCGAGTTAGGAAGGTGTATATTAGCTGTCCAACGGTGCTTGCTGTTTTGTTGTTTACTTATTTTTCCTAAAACGGCTTACGAATACAGAAATAATAGCGTTTCAACTGTTTTCTTTCCGGTTTTACTTGAACAACCAATTTCCATACTATTTCTTATAACAATCACTGCTATTTTCTCTATGTTGGTTATGTTCGTTTACAAACGTTTCAGCTCGTTTGACCAAATATTACATTTTTTTCAATCTGCAAAACTACATTAGTGTTTTTTCTTAGTTGACTATAAAAATAGTGTTTATGAAATTAGAGATACTTGTTTCGTGGTTTTTTTAAATCAGAAATACGTTGTTTTTTTTTTAAATCATTTATATAATTCCTCTGTTTTAGCCCCACAGCAAGTTGCTGACGGATCTTGAAACTGCCAAGATAGAAATTGCTGCTCAACAAGGGTTTGTGGACGAAGTTAAGTCAGCTGTGTCTAAACTGAAGGTGAGCAGAGCGCCATCTTATAACCATATAAAACATTATCTCAAGATTTGCTATTTCTTGAAAAATAATAAAAGTTAAACATTTTCTAAATTGTTAATAATGCAGTATCTATGACACTACTGGATGTTCTTAAATCAAACAGATTAGATTAGTGGAAATTATTTTGTAAGTATCAATTCAAGCTACCACTGAAGTTCAACTCTTTATTCATGAGGGGGGGGGGGTATTCTGGTTGTTTTAGGCATAAATGATTGTACTCTAACAATAGAACAGTTTCCACCATTGTTATATATATTTATTTATGGGAAATTTCAACTCAATGATCTTTTAATCTAGATATCAGCTCTTGCTTGTATAGAAGGGATTGGAATAACTCGTTCTCTAAACAAAAAGCTATTTTCGTCAAGCTTAACTTATTATAATATTGTTTTATCTTGACCAATATATTAGGATCATTATTCTACCTTGTACAGCAAAGCAGACGATTGTCTTTTGTAAACACAATGATTTTTTTATCCATTTAGGACTATTCCATGATGATAAACTCAGTTTCCTTCCTATAAATGAAAACACGTGTAAAAAATGTCTCTGTACATGTAAGGAAATTAATAATTCATTTTTTTTTTGCTAGGCAAAAATAGTCAGTTTTTGTAACGCAACATACATTTACCCATTGCTGGTAATGAAGCATTATAGCTTCTTTTCATGTCCATTGTGTTATATTCAAGATAGAAATAATTTCTTGTTTACTGCTGTTATAACGTAGTAACTTTCTTATGAAAGAGAGAGACATGATCTGGTTTTTCTTTAACGAAACATGTTCAGTTATATTGTTTGACAACATTACTTTAAAACTTTACTTTTTATGGTAGTTAAACGTTCAAAATTCCCTTCTTTTTTGTCTAGTGTAAGGTAATTATTTTTGTCCATTATAAAAGATATTTTTTCCGTAATTAATAAATATTATTAATTTCATAACAATAAGACAGAGTCAAAGATATATTTATTTTATTACTACAAGCGCAACGCAGTGATTTATTTTAACACAGTACTTTCGATGATATGCAATATTTAATACGATCTTTCAATTACAAGTATTAATATCTTTAATCTCTGTGAAAAAGATTACATATGTAACTCCATATTTTGAGATATTACAAAAGAATGTAATGAATAAGAACATATTCAAATGAAAGAACAATTAACTACGTTAGAGATAAAGTTCGCTAGAACGACGTATTGACTGATTGGAAAGTATGACGACCATATTATTTATATTCGTAACTAGAACGTGTTTATAGAACAGTTTAAATACGAATGGGTATAGAATATATGGCTGAAAATATCGTTAAGAGCAAGGGAAGTCGACTGATGGTTCAATGCATTCTAATCATGAATCTGATTATCTAGTTTATTGATTTGATTTATGACATTATGCGCTGGCCAGTTTATCATATAGATGTGGCTTTATTAGTTTATAATCACTTTTTAATTCTGATCTTTATGGTTGGTTTACTTTTGATAATAGGTTATTAATCGCTTATAAAATATTTTGGCGCTTTCTTTAACACTGCACATTACAGGTTAAATTAATTAAAATCTCTTACATTCAATAGAAGGAGGGTAGAAAAGCTCACTTTTTTTACAGCATTTTAACCAATGAATTGTTTTCCTGACTTTGTTATTAGATAAGAAGAATCAAATTTTAGGGGAAAAAGTGATCTTTCAAATCATCCAAATCACAAATTCACTATTATCTACAAATTATTTATAATTATAAATCGTTATATTCCAATCTTTAGCATGTTCCATAAAGAAATTAGTTTTTACTAGACCATCGTGACTCGTTTGGTCACCCACTATTCAGAGGTTATGAAGAATTCAAGCTAATTTGAATATTGCACCGAAATGAACGTTTATTTTGAGATAGTTTAATTAAATATTTCAATCCATTCGTGTTATTCATAATTCAAGAAGTGTAGTGTGATGTAAAATTACTCGTGCTAGAAATTTTCATAAAAGTGACCCGAAATTATTTCTTATCACACGATCTTTAATATACACCATAGTAACAGTTGGATAATGTCATTATTTTTTATCATACTCTCTCTAATATACACCATAGTAACAGTTGGTAATTTCATTATTTCTTATCACACGATCTTTAATATACACCATAGTAACAGTTGGATAATGTCATTATTTTTTATCATACTCTTTCTAATATACACCATAGTAACAGTTGGTAATTTCATTATTTCTTATCACACGGTCTCTAATATATACCGTAGTAACAATATTCCGAGATTATGAAGAATTCAAGCTAATTTCAATATTTAACGAAACCTGTTTTATTCTGTTTCTGTTCTCATTTCATTACAAATATGGCGATATTGTGCGCCGTTTTTGCCGTATTTAATTACAGACAAGCAAACAATCTCAGAGTTTTAGTAGTATATATATTTGGGTTTCCAGCGATGATATTATTAACATAACAAAAATCCTTTTAGACACAACATGTTTTATAATAGAAAGCTAAAAATACGCGATCTCTTCAATACATCAGAAACGTTTGGTGTTTTTAAAATAAGTGTGTCATTACATTTTTCGTGTTATTTTGAATAAACAAAACTGAGCTTAAATGCAAAAACAATTCCACAGTCAAACAAAGAACTTTTAAGATAAATGATGTATATGGTTCGCAGTATCTTTTTCTACCACTTCAAAATAACGCCGCATTACAAAAGAATGCAGCCCACAAGTGTATCTTTAAAGATAGCAGGAGCAAATAGCATAACTCAATTTTCACAAGAAAATGACAAAAAATATTCAATGTGAATGTGATAGATTTTGTAATTGTGACATGTTAAAATAAATCATTGTTCATGGTTGTTGAAAACATTTTACAAAACCGTGTCATAGTTGTTTATTAACGCTGTCATTAAAGTTATATTTATACTTAATAATCACGACTTCTTTATTGACATTAATCACCAAAACTTGACTGTTAACACAGTTTCGCCTTTCTACAAACAACGTGCAAACATTTAATTATCATTTAATCACGGTCTCAACAAAATGCAAAGCTAGAACAATAAAAAAGTTCATTGCACGAAAGGAATAATCATACAAAACTTCAGAAGTCATCATTTTAACCATAGAAATGTAATCTTTCGTAAATAGTTTTTTTAAGCGTGATCGTTATAAAATCCAAACCTTTAGCAAATGAATTTTCAAAACTTAAACAAATTTTCATTAAATGGGTGTTTCAGATGCTTAATTTAAAACTAAAACTACAAAAATGTGACAAAGAAAAATGAAGTTTGTATCGATTTCGTACTGTTTAACATCTGAAGTTCTATCATGATTACTAGACATCAAGTGAAAGAACGGTTAATGTAGAACTGTACGGATATTTTGTCGCCATCTGTTGGGTGTTATGAGAGGTAAATATAAACTAAATCTGTCTGCTACATCAACATGACGTTATTTTCTATTCATTTCGCCTTTCTTCATAGCCAAGTACACCAAACTTGTATCTCGGATATTTCACTCAATGTATTAATTATGTTCATGTCATATTTACTATACTGGTCTAGTATTTACTAAACATATAAGTGTGTAAACAAGACATTCACACCAAAGTAGGGACAAATATTTATTCTTTTTAAAATCAAGGAGAATTAACAGAACCTTTCAGAAAGATATCTTACCATATTCAGTACTCTCGGGCAACTTATATATAGAATTATAATTCTTAACTTTTGAACTTTTAGGTTTACTCTGAAATTTCATAATGCCACTGCTCAAAAGTTTTAAGAATTGAACACTTACGATTTCAATATGTTTACTGTATACTAAATGGTAAAACCTTTAACAGTCAGTAGCTCGTCTTTAAATATAGAACATAGGTGCGTCCAAGGATCAGTTATACAACCCTACCTGTTCCTATAGGTGAACATACATCCGATAAGGTGGTCACGTCTCTAGAAGTGGTCTCTGATATGAAAATAAGATATTAATGTCCAGTTCTTATTGGCCGTTATAAATGATTCAGCAGCCAATAGAGCGACTGAGTTGAGGGTAAGTTGGATGAAATATGTTAATACAATGGAGCGATTTAGTTGAGGGCAAGATGGATGGAATAGCTAAATACGATAGAACGATTTAGTTAAGGACAAGGTGGATCAAATAAATAAATATAATGGAGCGATTTAGTTGAGGGCAAGGTTGATGAAATAGATAAATACAATAGAGCGATTTAGTTGAGGGCAAGGTTGATGAAATAGATAAATACAATAGAGCGATTTAGTTAAGGACAAGGTGGATTAAATAAGTAAATATAATTTAGCGATTGAGTTGAGGGCAAGGTTGATGAAATAGATAGATATAATGGAGCGATTTAGTTGAGGGCAAGGTTGATGAAATAGATAAATACAATAGAACGATTTAGTTAAGGACAAGGTTGATGAAATAGATAGATATAATGGAGCGATTTAGTTGAGGGCAAGGTTGATGAAATAGCTAAATACGACTGAATTGAGGGCAAGGTGGATGTAATTGGTAAATAAAAGAAAAAACATTGAAGTATGAAGCTTTCCTAGTTATTTAAATCCAACTAGTTTCGGTAATACAATTACCGTTATCAGGGCTTTATCCTTCATTGTGTCAAAAACAGTCGTTTTCTTCATTTTATTTATATATTAGTTATAGCACAATGTGCCTAAAAAAGAAATTATAAATAAAACTGTTTGCTTGTTTTTTGCTGAACACAAAGCTACACAATGAACTATCTGTGCTTTGCCCACCACGGGCATAAAAAAATCCGGTTTTAAGGTTGTAACCACGCAGATTTACCGTTGAGCCACTAGTTAGGGGCAGGTATTTTTAAGCTATTGTTGTTTTTAGCGCTGTGTCCACTGCAGGGAATCGAACTTCCGATCTTAGTGTTGTGAATCAGTAAACTTACAACTGACCCGCCAATGGATACTATACATAAAATAACCAACTTCTCTGTCATTTGCTTGTCTATAGCCGCAGTAGTTGTCTGGGACACGCTTAGACACACTCAAAATATACATGCAATCTAAACTAATTCAACTACATAAAGATAAAAACCTTGACTTTTGGGTTTCATATAGATTAAATCTCTCTAAGGAAGCTCAATTCAATTAACTTTGTGCATTAAACTGCATATTTTTCTTGCTCAACACTCCTTAATGGATGCCTTATCGTATATCAAGTAAAATGGGATTACATTTATTCGACTTGTAAGTCTTATGAGCCTGATCCCATCTTATGAGCCTGATCCCACAGGAGACGACGTAACAATATGTAGAAAAATTCACAATGTAGGGCCGAGTGCGCCACACTGAGATAATGATTGTAGAAGAAGATAATAAATTGCCTGAAGAGATAAATTTATTACATCATCCATCAAGGAGTTATGTACAACGAGAAAGTACACAAAGGGAATTGAGCTGAACATTTTCAGTGAGAATTAATCCACACAAAACCTAAAGTTGAGTCAGATACCAGTAGGGAAAGTGCACAGGTTTCTAACCCAGATGTTAAAGAGGGATTTTAATTTCGGGCACAGAAATTCTAGTTTACTTTCCATCACCTGAAATTGGTCACATCGCCCCCAAGAAAAAAATGGCAAACTCATCAGAGAAGATTTAAAACTTTTTTTTCAAACATTTATCAAGTGAATAGATAAAAAAAAGCATAGAGCCTAACCAAAACTACCCACAGGCTAGTAGGCTAGCACTCTGTATTTAGATATCACAAGTTTGACTGAAAATCCAGATATTAAACATTTTTTGGAAAAGGAGAAGTAATGGGCTTCAGCTAAATTATAAAAATGTCTTAAATTTCCTAAGGATGTTTTGGATTATATGAGCCAGTGATTTATAGAATACGAAATCTCAGAGAAACCCAAAGCTACACAGTTAGCTATCTGTGCTCCGGCCACCACGGGTATCGAAACCCGAATTCTAGCGTTATAAGTTAACATACATACCGCTGTGCCACTGAGAGACTCTCAGAGAAAAGACAGCCTTCAAGGAGAGAGAAGAATGCCAGTTTATCGTTTTGGAAAACTCCCTGAGGTACTTTCAAGGGCTTGTAATTCTAAAGTTTGGGGTTCAATCCCCATGCCGAATACATCGCCGATAGCCCATTGTGCAGCTTTGCGCTTGAACAAACAAATAAATTTTGGTAATTTAGAAACGAGTTATTTTACAATGAAAATATTTTATCCTTAATGTAACAGCGACTACATGATTTTATTTTTTATACCGTTGAGTTTGAAAGCGTTATTAATAATCTCTTCAGTATATAGCGAATGAGAACTTGAAAAAACAACTACATTTTAGATTAGTTCGAATATATATTTCAAAACATTTTTAGAAACTATATTAGAGGTAATTCCACTAAATCTCTATGATAGTGTTGTTTTCTACTTTGAATATATTTGCTTTTCGTAAACAAACTTATGTATAACAAATACTTTCAGATTATAGCAACAATCTGATTTTGTTTTATTTAGTCATTCTTTTCGCTAGAACTTTAATAAGAGAAACAGTTGCGATTTGTTGCGAAAGGCGATATGTGTTAATATACAAATTTACTTCTTATAAATAATATTGCTGAAGTAAGGCTGGGAATGACCAGTTGTTAGTGTGTTGGACTGTGGATCCGAAGGTTTATGGTTCCGTTGTCCGAAAAATGTCGTTCTCGGAACTATAGGACCATGGTTGCGTTATAAGAGTAATGGTGAAATCTCACTATTGGATTATTTTATATATTTGTTTGAAGTTAAGCAAAAAGGTGCACAATGGGCTATCTGTGCTCTGCCCACCATGGGTATCGAAACCAGGTTTCTAGCGTTGTAAGTTCCGCAGAGATACCGCTGTGCCACTATTGGATTAGTGTATCCAAGAGTTAGCGGTGGATGCTTGCTGCCTTCCCTCGGGTCTATCAGCTAAAACTTAGGGACGAATAGCCGTTGCGTAGCTTTGTGTGAATATTCAAAATAAACAAGTAATCGCTAAACATGAATGTTTAAAAAGTCTTTATTGAACAAAATAATATTTTAGTCTTAAAAATTTTGCAAACCGAATGCTGCAAATTGAATTAATTACAACAATAATAGTTTTATTTTCCTTTACGTTACTTGCTACTTATTGTCTATTATAATAACAATTAATATTGGAAAGGTTTACTATTTATAAGTTATTCGCTGACGATTAAATGCGTGGCCCCAAAATATTCTCTGAAGACAAAAGCCAACAGGAGTTTCGTTTGGTTGTTTCTGATCAGTGGCGAATTTGGTTCGAAATTAACCAAATATTATAGTGGGGGCAGACTTACGACGTTAGAAACCGGGTTTCGACACCCGTGGTGGGCAAAGCACAGATAGCCCATCGTGTACCTTTGTGCTTAATTCCATACAAACCAAACCAAATTATATTGGGTTACACATTTTACTTAAGACAGCTACTAACTAAGATTAAGACGTTTTTCATGGGCATTTGAAAGATTATATATATATATATATTAACCTCTATGATTTATTGTGAAAAATCAGGTAGACATTTAACACATATGTACTTTTAAAATGTCTCCGAATGTCTTTCTTGCGTAAAATAATTCTAATTGTTAAATTAGGGCACATCTCATGCTATAGGTTGGAATAACGTTAAATTGAAAAATCGGGTTGAGTTGAAATTTCAAATAAATATTAGAGAAACAACAGAGATAGGATAAACAAAAACAAAAATATTGTGCTGAACAAAGAAGACGGTCCAGATTTAGATGAAATAAAGTACTAGACATATGTTTTATAAACTCTGGGTGGCGCTAAAGGAATGCAAATAATTATGTAGTATATAAGTCTTGACCAAACGTCAACTTTTACTCGTGAAGATGGTGGCGTAAGAACACTGAAACATTTTAGGACTATTTCCTATTTAAATAAATTATTTATTGTGTAATTATTTTAGCGTTGTACT